TTGTAACTGCTCTCATGGTGATTCAATAAATAAAATTATAAAAAAATGAAAAAAAGAAGTTGTGGTATATATGTATATACACATATATACATATACACACATATATATACATACTGTTGGAATCTCAAATCCCAAATTCCATGTTATGCAGAGACATCTGGAGTTCTATCTACCTATCTATATATATATCTATTTGATGGAATACTATGCAGCTCTAAGAAAGTACAAAACCATACAATTTGCAGAAATGTGGATAAAATCAGAGGATACCATGCTGAATGAAGTCAGTCAGAATGAAAGGGACAGATACAGACTGATATCTCATATGTGAGAGAACATAGCAAGATACATAGTGAGGTAGCAACAAAGATCCAAAGACAACATGGGGGGAGGGGGAACTGGACAGGTGAAAGGGAGGGGGAGGGGGACTTGAGGAAGAGAGACATGTATACTCGTGATGGGTGTGGTTTTAAAACTATGTCCATGAGAATCCATTATTAATACTATTGTAAACCAAAAATAATAAAAATTTAAAAATAACATGGATGGACCCTGGCCTGCTGCAGGATGGGGTCTTGGCCGAGTTCTCTCTCAAGCCCAGCAGGCCCTGGGCTGTGCTCCAACTCCATTCTTACGATTGGTGGCCAGCCCTCACCTGCTGTGCACCCTCCCAAGACTCCTGCTGTGCAAAAATGTGCACGAACTAAGCTAGGTTTCCCCTTTGACAGCAGATACTCTTTGACAGCAATATTTGCATGAAATGAAGAAAAACCTTAGGACTGATTTTTTTAGCTTCTTTTTAAGCTTCTTTTTTCTTTTCTCAAGTTCTAGGCGGCATTTGCGCAAACATTTGTACTCAACATTTCATGAGGAAACGTAGACCTGAGATTTCCATGCAACAGAATGGGCAGGGAGGGGAAGGCTCGTGGCCAATTCACACTGAATATTTCCTCCAATATAACCCCCTTAGCCCACCCACCTCCTACTCCTGCCCCCTCACTAGCTCGCTCTTGTAAATAATCAGAAACATGTTCTATGTTGTGGCAGTGACAATAGTTTTATATGAAAAGGAACAGTTTTCATGAAGCAAAATCTATCATTGTTTTATTTCATATAAAGGTCACTTCCCACCCTCCTTCCATAGTTCCCTCCAGGTTATTTTCCTTTCTGGAGCATTTGCACTACAGGTCACTACTGTGTATTATGGATAAATGAGAAATGAATTCCTTGCTTTAAAAAAAAATTTAATCACCATGAGATCCACAGTTACAAAGCTGTTCATGGTCAGGTTTCCATCATACAATGTTCCAACATCCATCCCTCCAACAGAGTACATTTTCTAGCACCAATGTCCCCAGTTTTCCCACCACCACCCTCCCTCCCCGCAGCCTTCTCTTTGGCAGGCACTTTCCTTCTGTGTGTGTGTGTGTGTGTGTGTGTGTGTGTGTGTGTGTCTGTCTGCCTGCCTGCCTCTCTGTCTCGGCATCATGGTTTGCAATACAGATACTCAGAGATTATCACGTTTATTACTTTACCTATTTTCAGCACACAGTTTTTGTCCAGAGTGATAATTTCCAACTATCTTTGTCATAGTGGTCCCTTCTCTATCCCAGTGTCTTCTCCCCCAGCACCTAAATCAGGATTCCAGCCAAGAATCATTTCTCCTGGCCCTTGTTTCTACTGTCCTGGGGTAGGAGTCTCATATGATATTTTTTAAATATCCCACAAATGAGTGCAGTCTGTCCCTCTATTTCTGACTCATTTCACTCAGCATGATACTCTCCATGTCCATCCACTATAAATGAATTTCATAACTTCATTTTAAGAAATGAATTCTTTTTCTAGCTATCCATCTATTTTATTTCAAATAAGGAAAAGTGTGTTTGGATTTTGTGTAAATACCTCTAGTGAAAAAGATTTTCCAATGTTCCAAAAAATTGTGTGCAGTACTACATGTGGTAGAGCTTTTTCTTCAAATTGTCTATTATAGAAAAAATGTTTTTGTCATAAGTCCATTTTGTCTCCTTTTTGTTCTCTTGCCACATTCCTCTTCCTCCCACCCCTTACTCCCTCTTTTCCTCCCACCCCAACAACTAGCACTAACGCACATAGCAATTGTAATGTTTTAGACTTTGCAGAAACTTCCTTGTATTCTGTATATAAAAACAAACAAAAATTCAGTTAAAAATAAATTAATTAACAACAATAACAAAACATGGATGGACCTAGATGGTATTGTGCTAAACAAAACAAGTCAGAGGAAGTAAGACAATGTGATTTTACTGAGATCTGCAACCATCTGATTTCACTCATCAGAGGTAGATAAGGACATAAAAGTAATGTGTAAATAAACTCTTGCTGTAAAAACAAAATAGCGGTTGCCAGAAGGGAAGAAGGAAAAGGGTGGGTAGATTGGTTTGAAGGCGTTGATTATTTGGTGGAGGATAGGAACTAAACTTTTGATGATGAATGTAGCATATGCAGCCACTTTGTAGTACTGGGAACCTGAAACATACAGTATTATAAACCAAGTTATTTCAATAAACATAATTTTTGATGCTAGCATTAAAAATAAAGTCACAAGCTTCGAGTGCCTTTTCTGAACACTTATCGTAAGTGGAGCTGAATGAGGGCCTGTGGCTTCCTGTCACCCCAGAATTTTCAAGAGGAAAAGGCTTTCTTCATGGAGTGCCAAGAAGGCATGAGAAATGCTCTCATATACCTCTGTGTCCCTTTGATTCAGGAAATAATTATATAGTTAAAAGGAGACTGAAATTTCAATATTTTTTACTTATTGAAAAGCAGGATGGGGTTTTCAGAACAAACAGTTTGGGGTCTTGAGAAAATTAGGAGGTCGGCTTCAGAATGAACAGAATGGAAGCCTCGAGATCATCAGGTCATTTGCTCCCAGTACCATGATGTGCTTGTTTCTGTGTACTTTATTCTAAAACATTACTTGTAACGGGTCTTGGAGTCTTCTGTTTTGAAAAATGTACACGTAAAGGCCATGAAGGAACAAAACAAAGTTCACTGAATCTCTGTTGTTCTTTCCTGCAAAACCAGGTGTGAAGACCTACTATCTCTGTCCTACCCAATTTATCTGTGCTAGGGTCAGAGTTTTTTTAGGGTCCCAATATCATGGTTTGTATTACCATGCATTATTTTTGTGGTTTTTATTTGCTTGTTTTGGGGGCCACATACAGCAGTGTTTCAGGGCGAGTCCCAGATTAGGGCTCAAGGGTTGCTCCTGGAGTTCTTGCTGTTGCAGGCATCAAAGCTGGGCCTCTTGCATACAAAGCATGCACGCCAGTCTTATGAGTCATCTCCTTGGTCTGATATTTGTATGTTTTTGAAGAGTATATAAATGGAATCATATAGTATGAAATTATCTTCTTTTACCCAATTTTATGTTCCATCTGTTTTTGTGAATCTGCAGGTTGTTCATTCTCTTTATTAGGCACTATTACACAATGTAAACAACTTTATATGCCTTTTGGTGAGCAGATTTCTAATGCACATATATTTAGGATGTACATTTCTATCGCATATTTATATATTGCATGTATTTGTATTCATTCATGCACGCATATGCATATACTTTAATATATAGTGCATATGTATTTAGGAGAGATATTGCTTGATTAACTCTAACAACCAACAATAAATTTATGTAATTGGTCTAGATCTTTCTTTTGAGCTGCAGATGTACACATTCCAATCTGCTGACACCTCCATTTGTAAACATCTCAAATGTAAACATATTCCATTTTCTTCTCCATGATCCCTAATTAGTTAATGGCTTCTTAGTCCATCTAATAACTTGAGAGAGTCGTCTCAATGGTTTTTTTTCCTACCCTTCCCGGGAAACCAATCTTACTATGTCCCTTGGGTTCCGCCTCTGATTTATATGTCTGACTTTTATCTATATTGGAAAAAACTGTCCAACGTTGCCTATCTCTTAGGGTCATTGTCACAGTTCAGTCACCATCGTCTGTGGCCTTGGCTAGTGCGAACGCTACGGGACTGTCTTCCAGCACCCGATTCTGTCCTCGTCCACACTAGCCCCGGATAAACCTCAGCTACGCATCACTGACGTCCCTTCAGCACTTTCTGTTCCAGTTCACTGGCCGAAGAAACAACCCACATAGAGCCTGGTCTGCGCGAGTAAGGCCGGCAAGGGCCTGCACGACCGGCCTTTCCTCAGCTCGCGGAGCCGCCCGCGCTCCCAACTCGGCTCGGTTCCGGACGGCGCCGGGCCCTCCCGCGCCTCCACAACGCCCCGCGCCTGCTGCTCCCGCGGTCCGGCCGTTCTCGAAGGCTCGTTTGCACGAGGGGCCGCGGAGGGTCCTTCTTCGGAGCCCCGTCCCTGGTTTGGGGGAGCGAACCGCTCCGGCTCTGCTTCTTCCCGGTTCTGACCGCGATTCCTGACGCGCAACGGCTCGTCTCCACGCGGCATCCTCGTCTAAGGCTCCAGCGGGCGCCACCCTCGGTCCGCGACCCGGTCGCCCTGGCGCGGCCTCGGCTTCGCGCGTCGCCGGCGGCGAGGCCCGGCGGTCGGGCAGAGCCAGCGCCCGGGGCCGAGCGGCGCCCGGGACGGGCCGGCGTCGGGCGCTCCCCGGCCCGCGTCGCCCGCCTCCTGCCGGCGACGGCGGCGACCCCTCGCTCGCGTCCGCCCGCCCCGCCGCATCCCGACGGCCCGTTGGCGGCGGCTGCAGGTGCGAGCCGGACCGGCTCCGGACGGCGCTCGGGCGGCCGCAACACCCGCCTCGGGGGCGGCGGGACGCGGCGCCCGGGCCGGCCGGCGTCCCTGCGCAGGTGCGGGCGCCGCGGCGACGGCTCCGGGGGCGGGACTGACCCGCGCGAGGGGCGGGCCGAGGCGCCCGGCGCGAGCCGATTGGCCAGGCCGCCGGAGGAGGCGGGGCCCGGCCCGCGGCGGCCACGTTGGCCGGCGGGCGGAGAGGCGGCTCCGGCCCACAGTGCCCCGCGCGCGCGTCCCGGGAGCGGCGGGTCCCGCGCGGCAGGTGCGGCCCGTGCCCCGGCCCAGCCCGCCCCGCGCCCGCGCCGCCGCTTCCGCCTGCACTTCCGGGCGGCCGTTGCCCCCGGCCCGGCGGGCAGCACCTGGGGCTGGAGGTAGGAGCGGCGTCCGCGAGCGCCCGGCCCGCGGCCGAGCCCGGCTGGCGGAGCCTGGAGGGGGCCGGGGCGGGTGGCGGAGCCTGGAGGGGGCCGGGGCGGGTGGCGGAGCCTGGAGGGGGCCAGCCAGGCTGGCACGATGGCAAGGGCGGACCAGTTGCAGTGGCAGGAGCCTGGGGCCCACAGTGCCCTGGGCCACCCTTGGGTGCTCTGAGGCCCAGTTGACACCCAGTGTGTGTGTGTGTGTGTGTGTGTGCGCGCTGGGAGGTCAGAACTGCTGGCCCAAGCTGCCCTCCCCCTCCTTGCTGGAAGTGCTCCGTCCCTGGCCACAGAGCCTCACCTTTCCCTTGGAGCCCAGTTTTCCCCTGGTCAGCTGGACTCCAGAGGGAGAGGGAGACAGGATGAGCTTTCAAAGTGGTTGCAACTGCCACTTTGAAAACTCACCCGAACCGCATTCCCCTGTTCAGGCGACTGCTTGCAGGCCGAGATGACAGGACGTAGGCATGGTGTGTCATTTCTGGCATGGGAGTATTGAGAAGTGCAGTCTGACATCTGTGGTTGTGTCCTAAATGATTATGCAAAGCTCCCCCGCCTCCCCTTTTAGGGCCACATGTAACCCCAGTCCAAGCAGTGGTCAGATCCAGGGCCTCCTGTCACGTTCCCAGCCCCTGCCCTATCTGATTAGACGTCTGGGCCTTTCCTGGGTTGAGAGCTATGACATCAGTGTAGTGCCTTTTTGGGTGTAGGACTGATGTTTTAAAAATCTAAACCTGGGACTGGAGTGATAGCGCAGGGGGGAGGACTTTTGCCTTGCACGCGGCCAACCGGGTTCGATTCCCAGCATCCCATATGGTCCCCTGAGCACGGCTAGGAGTAATTCCTGAGTGCAGAGCCAGGAGGAACCCCTGTGCATCGCTGGTGTGACCCAAAAAGAAAAAAAAATCTGAACCCATTTCATTTTGGTGTGTGTAGGGAGCCCAGGTCTCCCCTAAGGCGTTCCTGTGGGCTGCCTCTCTTCTGAGTTGGGTGAGAAGGTTGGATAAGCAGAGGGCCATAGTTTCCTAGACCCTAAAAAAATCTCTGAAAATGTTTAGAGATAGAGCAGAGTTGTTGTTGTTGTTTTTAAAATTTTTTATTGAGCCACCGTGAGACACAGTTTCAAAGCTTTCATGTTTGATATTCAGCTATACAATGATCAATCACCCATCCCTCCACCAGTGCAAACTTTCCACCATCAATATAGAGCAGAGTTTAAATCCCTCCTCTGTCACCACTGGGTTAGAAAATAGACACATTGCTTAGCCTTTCTGAGCTGATTTATTGGAAGGTAAGGAGAAACAGGTTACTGGAAGGCCGGAGCAATGATGCAGCAGCTAGGGCATTTGCCGGGCATGCGGCGGGCCCGGGTTGGATCCCCGGCATCTGATACGCTCCTCTGAGCACCCCAGGAGTGATCCCTGGATGCAGTGCGGGAGTAACCCCTGAGAATTGCTGATCGCTGGATGTTACCAACCCCCCCCCAAAAAAAATAGAGGGACTATGTGTATGAAGTACCTGGTTCTGAGTGTAGTCAGCATGTCCTGCCACGCAGTCCTGTGCTTGAGTATGCAAGGCAGTGTTTCAGGTTCTCCCTGTTTGTGTTCCTAGGGCACTTGAGACAGTTCTCTGTGATATTAGTGGGAACTATTGAAGAAACAATTTACGGGTGAGGAAGCTGCAGAAAGAGAAAGCTGCCCCAGTCCACAGTGGAGCCAGAGTTTGAACTTGGCAATCTGGTTCCAAAGTCCATCCTGTTAACTACTATACACCTCTAAAAAAAGAAATCCAGGCTAGTATTTACTATTTCAGAAGGTGTGGCTAGACAACTTCTGTGGCACTGGGCTTTGCCCTTGTTGGCCTTAGGTGACTGACTCCTCTCCTCTTGCCAGGCTGGAGCAATAGCACTGCGATAGGGCATTTGCCTTGCACGCGGCCAGCCCGGCCGAGCCGAGTTCGATTCCTCCACCCCTCCCGGAGAGCCCGGCAAGGTACCGAGAGTATCTCGCCCGCACGGCAAAGCCTGGCAAGCTCCCCGTGGCGTATTCGATATGCCAGACACAGTAACAACAAGTCTCATGATGGAGACGTTACTGGGCCCGCTCGAGCAAATCGATGGAACGACGGGAGGACAGTGCTACAGTGCTACAGGCCTTAGGAGACTGATTCGCAGGGTGAGGGGAGAGAGAAGAAACGCAGGCTTCATTGCTGCTTCCGGTGTGTGTTCATGTGCGCCGAGGACAGCTTCAGTGCTGGCACTTGTGGATGGTTTGTGAAAGGAGGTGTCTTCCCATGCTGTTCCCTGTGTGGGAGTCCTGTTTGTGGATCTGATCAGCTCCTAGATCTTATGTGTACTGTGCAGTGCAGTACTTACAGTAGGAGTGTCAGCGTTGGCTGGTGAGGTGGGGGGGGGGGGGTGTGGGCAAAGGCACAGCTGCAAAATTCTGGTTATTCTCAGCTGTCTTTCTCTTCAGGCAGTTTCCCAGGTGCCTTCCTGTAGCCTGTGACTGTCAAGTTCTCTCCTTTTTACTCAGTCTTGACCCCATCCTGTATATCATAACACAGGGGTTTTTGTTTGTTTGTTTGGGGGGTCATACCTGGTGGTGCTCAGGGGTTACTCCTGGTGCTGTACTCAGGGATCACTCCCCGTTCAGGGGACCATATGTGATGCCGGGGATTGAACCCCGGTTGGCTGTGTGCAAGGCAAGCGTCCTCCCTTGGTATTCTATCACTCTGACCTCAGTAATTCAGTTTGGTCACCAAATACTCTCCATCTCTGAATATTTCAGCCGATAACTTTTGTTTGTTTGGGGTGGGGTGGGGCTTCGTGTGTTCCTCAGGAGGCCCGGGGTCCCAGTCAGTTCTTGTCTAGCAGTCAATTCAGTGCCAGGGCCCAAGGTTTGATGCTGCTCTTGCCTTACAGTGCTGGGCATCCCTGGACCACTTTTGAAGGTTGCCTCCAGGGTGCACTCACCAGTGCTTATGACCCTGGGGCTGCGCACGGTGATGCCTGGGGGGCCAAGTAGTGCCAGAAATGGAGCCTGGGTTGGACAAAGCCACTGTCTCCTGTCTCCCCGCCCCTACAGGTAGTGCTTCAAATTAAAGTAACGATGTGCCAAGGTGTAAGGTGTTTTTGTTTTTGTTTTTTTTAACCATACCTGGTGATGCTTGGGAATTATTCCTGGCTCTGAACTCAGGGATCACTCTTGACGGTGCTTGGGGGACCATATGTAGTGCAGGGATCGAACCTGAATCTGCTGTGTGCAAGGCAGGTACCTTTCCCTCTGTACTATTTCTCTGGCCCTTGCACATGCATTTGAATGAAACAAAGAGTTATTTAGGGCTGGAGAGATAGTTCAGTGGGAATGTGCTTGCCCTGCACATGGCTGACCCAGGTTTTATCCCCAGCACCCCATATGACCCCCCCAAGCCCCGCCAGGTGATCCCTGAGCATAGCCAGGAGTCAGCCCTGAGTACCACTGGGCGTGCCCTCCACCCCAAAAAAGAGGTTTTCCCTTCTTTCCTGAGCCCCAAACTTCTCTATTAATTTAAATCTGAAAAACCCAATACCTTACAGCTGATTCCATGGACAGGACAAAAAAATAAGTCACTTCAAATACCTATAAAAGGTAAATAACAGTACAGGTTGGATGTAGATTAAGAATTCTGAAATGTCAATTGAAGTTTGGGAAATAACTGGAATAGAATGAGTGGCTAACCCAATATGCAGTGATTTTTATCTTAAAAGAGGCATTTATGAAGGAATTTTGCAGAAAAGTGGATATAAAATGTGCCTGTGTAGTTAGATTTTGCTCATTAATTTTTGAGAGATTGCCCTAGTGGTGCATTGGGCATTAGTTATAACCTGACACTGTTCTGAAGAATAGAGGTTAGCACTGTTATCTTGGTTCTAAACAGTTTCTGACCACAGTATCGTAGATTAATTTTGTATTCTCAAACTCCCTAAATGTTTACATTTACCTACCTAATTCTATTTAGAATTTTTTTCCCTCAGCAGTTGCTTCTGGGAAAAAAGATACAAAGGAAAAAATCTAATGCATTTGCTTTAATATTTGGACTTAATTTTTATTACCAGTTGTCATCATGGATAGGCAGTGTACGCAGATTTGTGGGGAGGGGCAATAGCATGTGGGCCTAGCATGTGCATTGATAAGCAAGCCTCTTAACAATATTTACATGACTGTGTATGAGAACTGTGATTGTGCTCTTTAAAATCAAAGTTTGACTCTTTACCTGATTTCTCTCAGCATCATTCTTGTGAAGTGTGCAGTTCTTTAATGTTTTTTTTCTTTTTTCTTTTTGCTTTTTGGATCACACCCAGCAGTGCTCAAGGGTCACTCCTGGCTCTGCACTCAGGAATTAATTCTGGTGGTGCTGGAAGACCATCTGGGATACTAGGGATCTGACCTGGGTCGGCCGTGTGCAAAGCAAATGCCCTACCCGCTGTGCTATGCTCTGGCCCCTCTCTAATGTATTTTTGTAAAACATGACTGGGATCTAATAAAAGAGGCCAATGTCATCTGTTTTATGGTAAAAGGATTGAGAACAGTAATTCCTATGGCTTTAAAGATTTCATTTAAATGCAGATGCATTTTCTGATTCTAAAAGTCATACATGTCCATTGTGTAATTTAATGAAAATCTAGAGAATTAGAAAATTCGTAACCTTATTTCTTGGCAATAAGTGTTTCAGTGTTGGCGATGTGCCTTCCAATATCTTTCCTCCATTTTCTCTCCATTCTTTGTTCTCTTTGTATATATGGAAAATTTCACTTGTAGTTTTCATGTTACTATTTTTTTAATCTAACACCTAAGCCTTTGACCACACTGTTAACCTATTTTCCACGAACCAAGCTTTTAGTTACTGCGTTGTATTTTGTTGGGTGTACTATGATTTATTTAACTATCTCCCTGATAGTGGGTGTTTAATAATAGATTGTTTTCAGTTATTTCCTGATTGAATGTCTTTCAGTTTAATAGTTTGTCTGAATCTCATCATTTTCCTCAGGATAGGATTGTATTTGTATACAAATACAATCAGAGGGTATACATATTTCAACTTTTGTTTTGTATTGTCAGATAATTTTGACAGTGAAGTTTAGTGCATATTTGCTTCCACATGTACTAATGAGAAATACTACTAAAAGTAGTACTAATACTACTTTTTTAAGTAAAGCATACCATATATTTTAATTGGTATATGTTTGATTATTAGTGATTCGAACATTTTTGTTTTATATATCACCTTTGGCTTTGATTGTATTTTTCTAACCTGAATTGTCCATTCTGTTTTAGGCCTTCTCTGTTGGCTGAAATGTCTATGATTCTGTCGGCCTCTGTCGTTCGTGTTAGAGATGGACTGCCACTTTCTGCTTCCACCGACTATGACCAGGGCACAGGCGTGCAGGAGTGCAGAAAGTACTTTAAAATGCTCTCAAGGAAACTTGCTCAGCTTCCTGATAGATGTACGCTGAAAACTGGACAGTACAACATTAAGTAAGACCTCAATTTGTCCATTAGAATCATTTGCTTAATTGTTGCAGTTGTATGAGGTAGTAGTGGAAACTAGTATTTGATTAAGAAATCTCATTCAAGTTAAGAGTCATGTTTCTGTAACTAAAACTAAGTAATTCTGTCCTGTTTACATCAGTCTCTAGAAAAGTTTATGGTTCTGAAAATCATAGATATTAGATTATTAAATATTTATTGTTTTTTTTTACATGCTTAAGAAACAATAATGCAAATCAATAAAATCTAGTGTATTACTTACCCCCCAAAACTTAAGAACTTGATTTTCCAGTGAGGGTGTTAGCACTCATCACTCTTACATGTAAAGACTGAAACAGGGCAGTGGGTTAAAGAGTGACTTTATGAAGTCAGGGACTTCTCTGCGGTGGCAGTTGTGCAATGACTAAAAGATGAGGAAGAAGGTGGCCATATAAGGATGCTTTTGACAAAGAACAAGGTGAAAAATCTTGGATACATATCAAGGGATGAAAAAAGAAAAACAGACGTAAGGAAATATAGAGATAATAAACAGAGTGGTAGGAGTACGGTTAAAAAAAAGGAACGGGGCAAGTTAGACTGTGCTAAAGAGTTAGGATTGAGTCTAATGCAGTAGGATACCATCAAAGAATTTTAAACTCTGGGCGATTCACCAATTCTGATTGGGCTTTGAATAGATAATCCTGGCTATTCTTTGAAGCTTGGTCTTAAAGGAAGAAAGAATAGAAACAGAGATTGTTTAGGAGACTGAGAGAAACTCAGGTTGGGTGATGTTCATAACTTGAATGAAGATAACGAGAAGTGGTTGGATATAGGCTGAATTTTTGGAGTAACACCAAATTTTTGGAGTAACAGCTGGGTGTGGTCCTGGAGACCCTCAGCACCCCCAGGGCACAAGCAAACATTAAAGTAAACATTGCTTTAATCTAAATCTTAGATGGAAAATGGGATGTAAATGAAGAGAAGAATCCAGAATTACCTTTCAGTGCTGGGCCTGAGGAATGGCTAATAGTTGGATAATGAAATGAGTGAAATTAGGGGCTAAGTGTTTGTGTGGTGAAAATCAGGTTCTTTTTGGTCATGATAAGGCAGAGGTGCTCATTAGACAGCCAAGAGGCACTTCCAGCTGGCTGGTGACTGTAATGTGTGAAGTTTAGTGAAGAAGGACAAATGTGGAGATTTTGATGGGGGAGTGGGGATGTCAGCTACAGTTTAATTAAAACCAGGGAAATAGGGGCTGGAGCAATAGCATAGTGGGTAGGGCGTTTGCCTTGCATGCGGCTGATGTGGGTTTGATTCTCAGCATCCTATATGGTCCCCTGAGCACCGCCAGGGGTGATTCCTGAGTGCAGAACCAGCAGTAAACCCTATGCATCGCCAGGTATGACCCAAAAAGCAAAAAACAAAAAAACAACAAACAAAAAACCAGGGAAATAGATAAGACCGCCTTGGAGAACAGACACAGGAACTAATTAGAGGGCAGTTTGATACCTGTTGTGAGTGCTAGGGAATCAGATAAGAATAAGATACACGCGGGATATAGAAGAGGACTTTGTTAGTGAGATGAGACATGAGCATGGTCCTGAAGAGTCAGAAAGGTTTGGCTAAGGCCAGAAGAGAACATTTCAAGTGTAGTGAGAAGCAGAATAAGTAAAGACGAGGATTTAGGGACTGGGAATAGCACAGCAGTCAGCACACAGATGTGTTGGACGGGTTTGATTCTTGACACCACATGGTCCCTAGAGCACAGCTGGGTGTGGTCCTGGAGACCCTCAGCACCCCCAGGGCACAAGCAACATTGTATCACCACATCACTTGGCCAGGAGTCACCATTGGGACCCCCTGGACCGCCTGAGTGCCTCTTGGGAGCTCCCTCCCATGTAAAAAGATGGATGTTATACATATTATGATTTAGGGATGATTACAGAAAATGTAAATATTTAATCTGGAGCCAGATTCTGAATTTATCTAAAAATTCAGATTGAGAGATGTTATAATAAATTATATAGGTAGTTGTTACTGTAGTATTGACAGAAATGACTTGAGAAAATGGAGCAGTGCTGAGCCCGTGGATTACAGGGAAATAGAAAGTCTGAGGAGACAGAGGCCAACCTATGGTCATGACCTCGTCTGTAGAATACTAGGGCAAGTGAAAAAATACCAACCAGAAAGACGCTGCAAGGGAAAAGGCAGTGAGATCTAGTAAAAACGGGATATTGGAGATGTGAGAAGGAAGGGTCAGAGATGACCAAATTTGTGGTGGTATTAGACAGAGTAAAGTCTTTGGAAAGGATCACTTAAGAAAAATGAGAGAAAGAGGAGATAATGAAGGTCTATTCTGAGCATTTTAATTTAGATTATGAAAAGTGGAATAGAGATTTTTGGAATTATTTGCATAGAAGTTGAATCTGTGAGGGTAGAAATGCCTGCTGAGCACTTGGGAAGCTCCGAAGATAACCTTAGCATGTATCCACAATTCTTTGGATCACTTGGGCAATTACCTTTACTTGAGTTTTCTGATATTTCAGCTAGAAAATGTGATTAAAATATATCTGAAACTGAATATTAGTCTACTTCAGTTTTTTTAGAGAAGTTTTTTTTTTTAAACCTAGGAGTATTGCTAATTATTCAGTCACTGATTAGGCTGGTTGAATTGGGCATGAACTCGACCTTACATTTTTTTTTTTCTTTTTTACAAATTTCAGGTGCTCTACACGATCAGAGAAACTTCTCTAGTAACATACTATAGAAATGATCCCTGAAAGTATAGGAGGGCTGGAGCGATAGCACAGCGGGTAGGGCGTTCGCCTTACAAGCGGCCAACATGGCCGACCTGAGTTCGATTCCTCCGCCCCTCTCGGAGAGACAGGCAAGCTACCGGGAGTATTCGATATGCCAGACACAGTAACAACAAAGTCTCCAATGGAGACGTTACTGGGCCCGCTCGAGCAAATCGATGATCAACGGGAGGGCCTTTACTTTACTTTACTTTACTTTTTACAAATTTATTTATTGAATCACTGTGAGAGCAGCTACAAAGCTTTCGGGTTTAAGTCTCGATCATACAATGATGAAACGCCTGTCCCTTCACCAGTGCCCATTTTCCACCATCAAAAACCCCAGTATCCCCGCATCCCACACTCTTCCCCCTGCCTGTGGGGCAGATGACTTCCACATTACTCTCTCTCTACTTTGATCACATTCAATATTTCAACACCAGACCCACCATCATTATTTGGGATTTTACCCAACACTCAGATCTGCTGAAAAGGCAACAATAGACAATTTGTTTTCTATTGCTGGTTATGAATAAGGCCGCAGTAGTGGCCACACAATTTTGGGATTCCAAAATTTTAACAATTAAATCTGGAGGGATTCTGCCCAAACCTGCTGGGTTCTGAGATTTGTTCCTGAGTCTCTGGGATCATGGCCGTTAAATAGCTTGATCAGGAGCCAGGGAGGCGTTTGTGTCGTTAGGGCAGGGAGGAAAGGGCCGGCTACACCCCCATCCCGTGAGGCCCTGCATGTCTCGTCAGTGCAGGCCCAACCTGACTGTCCAGTGGCCTCTGGAGGATGACGTTCACCGAGCCGCCAGGAGGGAGCGGGTGGAGGGACAGCCCCCTCTTCCCTCTGGGGTGGCCTAGCGCCAGTGACCTACTGTGGGGACCAGATGCATTTCTGCCAAAAGCCGCTGGGTTCCAAGATGTGTTTAAGTCTCTGGGATCATGGCCGTTAAGCAGTTTGATCAGGAACCAGAGAGGCCCTGCCTCCAATTATATAGCTGAGCTGGAGGTGGTTTGTGGGTGTGTCTCCCACATACATAACTTTTGGCCGTTTACTTTCTTGGTAAACTTGGCCCCAAGTTGTTGGCATCTGGCCAAAGGCACAGCAGCAATTTTGGGGTATCTAGAAGTCTGAAGGTACCATCAGGCTGCTGATGCACTTGCCTCACAGGTACAGATTGATCTGCTGGTAGCACCTTACCCCCTAGAGAAAAAATTTGAAATGTTATTTAAAAGTTGGTCTCTTTTAGTGGCCTAAGTCTTTATGCTGAGTTTCTTTTCAGTGCTATAAACAGATGTCAGTGCTGATTAAGATTGACCCAAGTCCCTATTTAATCTGGCAAATATTGCACTTAAATTTATTTTTGCATGTTTTTTATTTCTTTACCATCTTCTTTTAAAAGTGGAGTAGAATGTAGTGAAATTTCTACCCTCTGTTTGTTGGACATTTTAGATTTTGCAATTCATTTTATTCCACAAAGGATGTGAGGCACTTGACATACTCAAACATACACATACATATACACACAAAATCATTAGTCAGGTAAGAGAATCATCTGAAGGAAACACAAAACAAACAAACACTGTCCTCCCGTTGTTCATCTATTTGCTCGAGCAGGCCCAGTAACGTCTCCATTTTGAGACTTGTTGTTACTGTGTTTTGGCTTATTGAATATGTCACGGGTAGCTTGCCAGGCTTTGCCGTGCGGGCGAAATACTCTCGGTAGCTTGCTGGGCGGAGGAATCGAACCCGGCTTGGCCAGACTGGCTGCGTGCAAGGCAAACACCCTACCACTGTGCTATCTCTCCAGCCTCATATGAAGGAAATACTAACATAATACTAGGTGCTAGAGAGATAGTACAGGAGCTCAGTCACTTGCCTTGCTTGTGGCTGTGACCTGTGACTTTCACACCATCTATGATTTCTTGCGCATAAGCAGGGTCACTCCTGAGCAGATTCAGGAAGAGCCTCTGAGCCCCTCCAAGAGTCGCTTCTATCCCCAGAACAAAACAGCAACAACAACAAAGGCAACATAGGAGAATAACAAGTGTTTGGAGATGCAAGCTGTGATTAATTTGTGGAATGAGGCTACAGGTATTACTCTGAGCTTGCTTGTGGCCAAAGCAAAGAGAGCAGGGAGGATAGCAGGTCAGGTCTAGTACTTGCAGCCTTGACTGGTGAAAACATTGCTTTGCTGTTATTGTGAC